ACTCGGGAGTCCAGAGAGCGCCCCCAGCACAAAACCACACGGTTTATATACCCACATCGACCAATCAAAAGCACTATAGAGTCCATGCACACAGCAGTCCAATCCGCGAGCTGATCATGTGAAGGGCATGCGTCTTCTATCCAATCACTACGGGATCACATGGGAGGCATGCACCTCGTCGCCATTTTGTTGTTTACTTCTTTAGCAGTTCCTTTCCCTGCCAGCGCCATCTTGTTCACCCTGAGGGGGACGACGTCTCGCTCCCCTCGTTCCCCTGGAGGGAGAGCAGCATCCCGCTTCCCACACCGTTATTTGAGTATTAGGAGGCATACAAACTGGGTTAGGTCTTAGCACAGCCAGGCATAAGTGTCGCAGCTAGCTAAGCATAGGGTCCCTTATTTTTATAGCTGCACCTAATTTTAGCTTTGGGGGGAAAAGTTTAGGGCTATAATTTTTAAAATTTAATTTTATTTGGGGCATAGGTGACTTCTTGTTTTTAATAGTGTTAGCTTAAGTCACTCCATCTTGGTTTGATTTTTAAGGTTCTTCAATTTGTCTTCCAGTAATGCTCCACACAGATACTTATGTGAGTGTAATTTACTTTATAGTCTGTTCATTCTCTTGACTTCTAAGGAAAGCTTTAATAAATTACATAAAAATTTTAGGTGGTTTCCTGAAGGCCTTCATGAAATTTGCCACATTCAGATTTTTAAAAAACAAATGGGCTAAGGAAAAACTTACTTTAATTGTGTGGGAATCCAGAGAATCCAATTTTTAGTCTCCCCAATAACTACCTTAATCTTTTAATGTTTTGTTATTTAGTTTGCATGCATTTATTAGCATTATAGTTTTGTCAAAGACTGAACAACAAAAAATTTTTGTCATTTTAATATCTTAAAAAAGTTATACATTTGAAAATTGTGCCTGGACTTTTCAAATTAAATTTCTATATTCATATACAGCCTAGGCCTCCCTAGAATGCCAGTTTTCCTAACTACACAGCCTTCCTGAAGAGCCAGAAGGAAGCCTCAATCAACTATTTGCATTCCATCAATTTGCTTTGGGTCCCCCTGCATTTTGGCTCTTGTTAGCTAAACGTCGGGAGAGGAGTGTCTTGTATTCCCAAGCCCACACATTCTAATGATAACTACACATTCCTCCCACCACTCAGAGCGTCACCTCCTACTGAAATGAGGGAGAACAACTTTTCAGTGAAGCAGGACTCATATCTCACAACACTGCGGTCAAGGGGGAAATTATTATTTTAGCCTGCATGCTTCAGTTCAGTGAATAACAATTTTCTGGCAGTAAATCAATAGAGTGAATATTGGATCTTCATTTGCTCTTAAAGAAGACCCAGTGTGTCTGGAAGAAGTCACAGTAATTGAGGGACTTTTAAAACAGTTAAATGCTCATATTTAGCACACCTAGAGACAAAACAGAACAACTTGCATCTATATTTTGAAGGCCATCTCAGAAAAAGAGTCACTTGCAGAGATAGCAAAGAGTGGCAGAACTCATTGCAGGTTTACCCACCCTTAACCAAAATTTCTGTATTTCTAGTGTCTGCTTATTTCAGTCTTGGAGGACATTGCCAGAGAAAAGTACATAATTGCTGTCTCTCCTCGCTCAACTCTCTCCTGCAGAATATATTGTGGAGCTGGTAAGCTCCAAACACAAAGATGGGGAAATAAAAAGGCTACTTGCTTGGTTTGATTGGTTTTTGCCATGTATGTGTAACAATATTGCACTGTACCCCATCAAAGCATGTAAGTATTACATGTTAATCAAAATTTTGAAATAATTGTAAAAGGGCAAAAATAAAAATCTATGTACCCCATAAAAATGTACAAGTATTATATATTAGTTGAAAATAATTTTTAAAAGAGTAAGAAATTAATTTTATCACACAATTCAGAGGGAGGTAAACATTTTCTGCTTTCCTAAGCCAGGCTAGGATGTCTGCAGTTCTTGGCTGACAAGACTTGCTTGCAGTATGTTGGCTTCTGTCTATATGGTGAACATGCAAATTGGTCAGAACAAGATTTTAGTTAGGTTAATCCTAAATGATCATCCTGTTCTGCGATTCGTACTTGAGATAGAAATCTCTTTCCAGTGGAAAAATTTATCATTAGTTGTTTAGATTTTGTCACCCCAGAAGGCTTGGTTTCTGGGGAATGTTGAGCGTACAACGTGGGCTCATAAAATGAACATGTGCTTATTCAACAGCCAGGAGGTAAGAGACAGAGTGCCCTTGACTGCCAGGCACTGGCAGGTGTTTCACCAACTCAGAAGCCTCATCTCTGCATTAGTCACCACCTCTGTCATTTGTATGAGTATGCTAACCATAAGCAAATCGTTGTGCAGAACAGAGGCAGCCATGGTGGGAAAGGTGGGGATGCCAGAGAGGCAGGGCATTTGCTGAGGACTAGCAGTCAGATGGGGCGGGTGCAGGGGTAGGACATGGTCAAGGGCTACGAACTCCAGCTGCCTTTCCACTCTTAAGCTGACTACAATATGGTAGTGATTGTGTTTACATGAGTCAATTGCTATATGGAAGAGGAAGGTTTTTCAAAAAAAAAAAAATAAGACTAATATAGTTGCTTTTTAAAGGGCAAAACGGGAAGCACTGAACATTGAACATGGAATTAATATTATGACTTCGCCTGTAGTTGCATAGTCTAATGCCCCTTGCCTTTCTCGTGCAGAGTAGCTTTGACACCAATCCAACTGATCATAGTCTAGTAACTCACTTTTCCCATTCCTTAGAGCACCAGAGCATTTCTTTTTTAAAGAAAAGGATAGCTTTTTTTTTTCTTCTGAAAAAGCATAGAAGAAATGTTGCTTTTGGAGACTAACTCTAACACAAGGAACAGATTGCCTGTGAGCTGTGAGGTTTAGGGGCTATCTGCCAACCACTCGATCTGCTCAGGCCCCAGGCTGTGGCTGGATTAGGTGCTAGAGCAGACAGTGTGTCGATATCCCCTTATCATGAACTGCAGGCCTCAGTTTATCTCTCTCCCTTCTCTTATACCTTCCTGAGCTTCCTAATCTAGTCAAGGGAGAGAAAAATGTTGCACTTAATAGTCGAAATAATTAAACTTTTTGTAGATTTTTTTGTCAAATAATCAAACCATCAGATGTATTCATTCACTGTCCACCTTGTGGTCAGCCAACCAGTATGAAGCCCTCCCAGGCACATTGTTCCAGGTGCCATGGAAGAACCTTATATTTTATGACAGATGCCTTGTATTTTTGTATCATCTGATTGCAGAGAAAGGTAATAGAGAAAAATAAGGCACACAGACACGTCAAACTTCCTGAACACACATGACAAGCACAGGCTCATTGCGGAGAGCTGAGAATCAACTAATCAACTGAGATGAATCCTAGGTGTGTCTGCTACTCAGCAAAGACTGTGGTTTGGAAACCACTGGGAACCACGGTGAAGATTGGTGATGAATGGAAAATGTGAGGAATCAAAGCACAGCCAAGAGCCAAGGAGTAGAGGAAAGAAGAGAAAGAAAGTTCCCTCGGAGAAGCACGTTTCTCCACGCTGTACCTTCTAAAGTTCAGATCTCATCACATGCACCCAGGACCTTTGAGAAAAGCAGGACGTGTAAGATCAAAGCTCTCATGCAGAGCTGCTGCAGAGATGCAGCTCTCTGATCTGTGTCCCAAAGATGTGACTTCAAGAATAGGAATATGATTTTCTATCTTTTTTTTATTGAACTTGGAGACTAAAGACAACTTCTTCATGACTACACATGCATCTGTGTATGTCGTTATGATGTGTACACACAGAATCTCATGACTCGAATTTCTCTGTGTCTACTGGTGAGCATGGAAAGGAAATTAGATTGAAATCACCAAGTGCACATCAGATCTTATGAGCGACGATGTCCAAATTTTATAAGAACAGTTCTCAAATAAATTCTCAATTAAAATGGAAATGCCAGGAGAGAAGATAATATCAGAACAATGACAAGCATAAAAGAATTTTTCCAGGGGTCAGTGTTGTCTTGTGGCAGGTTAAGCTGCCTTCAATGCCAGCATCCTATATTAGCAGCACTTGGAGTCTTGGCCTCTCTGCTTCCGATCTAGTGCCCTGACAATGCGCCAGGGAAAGCAGCAGAAGATGGCCTGAATCCTTGGGTCCCTGACACCCATACAGGAGATTCGGATGGAGTTCCAGGCTCCTGGCTTCAGCCTGGCCCAGTCCCAGCTGTTGTGGCAATTTGGAGAGTGAAACAGTAGGGTGGAAGATTCTCTATTTCCCTCTCAGTTCATTCAAGAACAAACTAAACGATGAGGACTAGTGCTGAAAAGTTCTGTCAAAAACTGTGTGGCTCTGGAGCAGTGGTTCTGAGTGGGGTGATTCTGCTCCCCGGGGCCATTTGGCAATGGCTAGAGACATGTTTGATTGTCACAAGTGCAGAAGGGGCTGTCCAGAGGGGGTTCTAATCATTCCACAGTGCACAGGACAGACCCCAAATGCTAATGGTGCCAAGGCTGAGAAACCCAGCTCTGGGTCTTCTGTATAAAACGCAATCTGAGGAATTTCTTTATAACTTAGTGCCACTCTCCCTTTTAAACTATTTCCCTCTATCAGATAAGAATTTTGTAAGCCACCACGCCTCCTGTTGTCTTTCTAACAGAAACTATAATAATGCTATCCTTGCTCCTTCTGATGAGTCTGATTTTCTAATTTTATTTTAATCTATTGTATGCAAGTCTCTTATTAATAAGACAAGTTTTCTTTAGAACTAGAAAGCGGTGAATGGTTGGTTGAATGGATGGACAGACGGATGAATGGATGGGGGAATAGGTTGCTGGGGAAATAGGAGGATAGGGGATGGATAACTGGGAAAATTCAAAAGGAAAAAGAGAAGGACATTTTTGCCTCAGAAATGGGAAACATTGGAAACAACTGGGTAGCTGTCAGTGACACTGCAACAGCTGTGGAAGGGGTGTATTTCAATGATGGTTTTTACTTTCAGAGGAAAAACGACCCCTATGCTCTTGCATCCCTGGTGTCCTTTGAAGTTCAGAAGATGCCATATAAAGATCAGCCGGCGAAACTCCCTGAAGGAAGAACAGCCGTGAGTATCTCAGCCACATGGAGGCACAAATACTGGAAACGGCGCTTAGCGTCAGCACTGCCTGGAGACACACGTCCCTCTCACAGGACCATTTTCTTATTTCAGTCTGAACACTTCCTACTGCCTGTCGATCTGGGTGTTCACTTTTGTATCTCCACCCCCCCCCCCAACGTATGGAACCAGAAATACCGTTTTTTAATGAAGCCATTTTGCTACAGAGAAGTCAGGTTGCAATGATTGCAATGGGGAAATCAGACTCTGATTTTAGGTGAGTGAAGAGGGGAGGAAAGAATGTCTCCTGGGGAGAGTTCACCATGGACCCTGGCTTTTATTGGTCCTGTTTCCTTTCTGTGGCAAGAGCCATAATTCTGATCTGGGAAAAATAAAAGAATACATCATGCACTTCAGATGAATGAAACATCAGGTGTCAAACCTGAGGCTGTTAAACATCACCGACTCCCAAGTATCGGTCGCAGAACAACCCCTGTCATCCTCAGCAAGGGGGCGAGGCCATGCAGAGGAGAGGAGAGAATGAGTGGGAGGGGACCTGTAGGCCCTGGCACCAAAGCTCTGCCTCTCCAGTTATCTGTAAGGTGATCGGAGACCTCTGGACAAGAGTGTGCTCTGAAAACCAATATGCACACAACTTCAACCTTCACCTCATGGCCATTCCATGTGCATTTACAATGCTCAATTTAAACTCTTGGTCCTCAGGGACTTGTTACTCAGAATGTGATTTGCAGACTGGCAGTTGGCCTCACATGGGAGCTCCTTAGAACTGCAGGCAGGAAGAGACCTGAGCCTCACTCTGCATGTCACCAGAGCACTTATTCTTCAGGGTGTCCCCAAGTAGAGGGCATACGTTTATACTGCTAGTGTCTCTTCTCAGAACCCTGTCTTTTCATTGTAAGATTTCATCTTTTTAGCTGAATCTACTTTGATGAGTAATTGCACTGAAATTAATGCATTGATGAGTGATGCGCAAGCTGAGCATGCTACTGTCATCACTTACGCAAGTTTAAGACTACAGCCATGTAAACCACCCCCTTCCTGTGTGGACTGAGCAGACTTTGCAGCCGTGCTGTCAAAGCCCTCACGCGAGAATTCGCCAGTGGAGCCAGGGGTTGCGTGCATCTCGTCGGGGCAGGTAGCCGGGAGGAAAACCTGAGGCTCTGCAGTTAGAAGCCCCTGGGCCTCAACCTGGCTGCGCTCGCTGGCATCACAGCATCTTTGGGAAGTCGCTTTACTTTTCCCAGGCTGATGGGATTAAGCCGAGTGATAAAATCACGTAGATACTCCTGAAGCTCTAGCATTGTACCCAGAACAAGTCAGGCTCAAGTCTCATCTAAATGTGGAGTGTCTTCCCCCTTCTCTGGCTGAGTTCAGAAAACCCACATTTGAAATGATAGTGAAGGCTCACACAGGCGAAAGATTTTAAAACAAGCACCATGGCTTCCTTTCTCATTCACTTCCACGAGATGGCTGCTGGAGGTTGGATTTATGTTCAACTCAGAAAGCAGAGGCCGAGGGATTTTAATAGAGAACGTTCATCCAGAGGGGTTCAAAGGCTCGGGGCTCACAGGGAGATAGGCGCGCTTGTCTTTTCTGAGCACATGTTCCATAACAGAAACACATGTCGTGGTCCATTCCATTGACAGCACTGCGTCTCTCCATGCTGCCTACAGGTGACAGCCTGCTGTTCTCAGCTCATCTCAAAAGGTCCACACAAGGATCCAATATATGCTTCCCTCATCCGGCCACCCTGTTACTGCACTGGGGAAAAGGGCTTGTTATCTGATGTAGGTGATTTACTGCACAGTTTCTGCTAAAGGTTATTGAAAAAACGTTTGGGAATGGAAGCGCTTTCCAGTCTGCCAATGTCTGATTAACTGGAGCAGATCTTGCGAGTATGAAGGGAGCGGTGTACCCAAGGGAAGCAGTCTTTCTGGGGCTTGATTTGAGAGAACTCTGGTTGGAGCCGGTAGACTGTTTTTTCCAGAGTTCTTCTCAAAGGTCTTGTCATTCTCTGGAAACACGCTCCGCACAAGAGCCCTGCTCTACAGGCGTAGAGTCCATTGGAATAGGTAGTTTGAGGAACATCACAGCTTCAGTCTGCACTGGGGAAAGTCTCTTGGTTTCTTGCTTTGTAAGGAAACTAAATATAATTTGCTTATTTTCCTGGTCTCTTCTTGGAATGATTAGTTTGTGCTCCCTCTTCAATGTGGTCAAAATCCAGTCATTTCGTGGAGCCTAAGTAGATTTATATATGGAAGAAAACAGCCGTCCTCATCTGCACAGTGTCTGTGTTGGTACCAAATGAATTCCTCATGTGTCGAGGCACCTGTGCTGCTCAGAGGTGAGGGGAAGGCTGTATAACTCACAGGCATGAAACTAAACCAGAATCATGACAGCATGCAAAAAAAAAAAAAAATCAGTTATTTGAACATTGGTTCGGCTCACTGATAAACTTTGGCATGTGCGTCTCATGCAACCAATGTCCAGTTGTACAATTTACCTTTAGAGGAGAATATCAGTCTGGTGGATTTCCAAAGGCAATTATTATATTTTATGAAAATCTTAATTTTTAAACTCATCCATAGACATTTAAATCACTTGATTTTCAGAATTGTTAGCAAAACTTAGCACCTGCAAGAGGAGTTCTTAATTAAATAATTATTTTGGAGTATAAACTTACCATGCGGACTGACTACTTTTCTCATGGGGCTGTTTCAATAGTAACCTGTATGCTCAGTTGGCCCACTTTGTGCTATTATTTTGTTCCAAATGGCATGGTGGGTAGAGTGTCCTGGCGCATTTATTTAAAGCACTCTTCTGACCCCACTGAAGTATGTTTGCACAAGATTTTGTGATACATAAATACAGATGTCAGCATTAATTACAGTTGTAAATACAACAGAGCCTTTTCCTTTCACCTTGGTATTTTTTTGGTCAAAATACATGAAAACATAGCATAAATGTCAATGGTAAAATATAGACATACTAAAGATTTATTTATGGCTTTTCAACCATAATAAAGAACAATAAGATTTACGACATAATGAAGGTAAGATTAAATGTTCCCTATTCGGATCACTTTAAGAAAATCTAAACCGCTTACAGTTTATGGTTCTCACTTCCTAAAATTGCAGATAATTATAATAAGTGGATTGTTAAAGTTTTATGCTGTTTTTTTAAAATAGCTACAAATTTATCATAAACAAAAATGTATTAAAACAGTTTGTTGCTGAGTTGGCAGACAATTGGATTTTTCTCCCTGAATTTTAAGTTCTTCAGTTACTCGCTGTCACCCTCCTTTCTTAAAGCAGTTGAGATATCTGATCACATGCTGCATCCTGAAAGTTAACTTTAGTTCTAAACAGACTCCAGCTTTTGCCTCGGTCACAGACTCTTAGGACACAGGACTCGGGTGATTCAGCATTCTCCTCACTGTGTGAGAGCGTAGAGGACGATCTGGAGCTGCAGGAGCCCACACGGTAGTTAAATGTGGCCAGTGCACATTCATAGATTGGTCACAATTAATGAACCACAGCCAGCTTCTACTATCTTTGTTATCCAAACTCCCTCTTTCCCTCCCATCCCTCCTCATCTTAGTAATCAACATTCTTTTTTCAGCTGTAATAATTGCTTTATCACTCATAAGTAATAGTTTATTAATAATATATAATTAAATGATGAAATAGTTGTGTCATAATAGGTAACAGTTGAAGTTTAAGGTTAATATTAGTGTCCCCACTTTTTATTCTTTTTAACGTGGTTGCTAGCAATTTAATTGCATGCTAAGTAAAGTGAACTACATGCTAAGCACATACCAGCTGCATACTAAGCACATGTCAGTCACATGTGAAATATATGCTAAGCACTCACCAACCACATTTTAAACTTGTGCCAATTACATACCTACTGCATCTAGGCACATGGCAAGTACATGCTAATTACATACCAAACGTGCCAAGCAATGCAATTTCATGGCAGCTTCATGCTGATTACATGTCAATCGCATGTGAAATGCAAACTAAGCAATGACAATCATGTGTGAACTACCCACTAAGCAAGGCCAGTAAAGTGATCTGCATAGTAAGCAATGTGAACTACATATTAAGGTCATGCTAATTGCATGTCAAGCATTGATAGCCACGTGGTAGTTACATGTGAGATACATGATAAGTACATAAAAATCCCATGACAACTCCATGCTAAAAGCATGAGAGATTTATGCAAGTGGCAGTGCCAACTCCAACAGAAAATTCAAGTAGTTGCATGTGAATGACACTGATTACACCTGAATTACATCCAATTACATGCTGACATAAGCACATGCCAACTTCATGCTATATAAACACACATTGCATGCTAAGTATATGCTGGCTACATACTAGCACCTGCTGACCACATGCAACATACATACCAAGAACATGACAATTATATGTTAAACACATGGAAACAACATGTGAGTTATATACAAGACACATACCAACTACATGTTAAGAACATACAAACTGCATTGCGTGGCAGCATTGCAAGAGAATTTCATGTCATATACATGCCAGTCCCATTAGAAAATGTGAATGACGCTGAATCCAAACTATATCCCAATCACATGCTAAACACATGTGAGTTATATATTGATGTATCAACTACATGTCAAGTACATGGTGATCACATGTGGACTACCAAGCAACACAAACTACATGCTAATCATATACCAATCACATGCTAAGCACATATCATTTGTGAGATGCATGCTGAGCATATGCTAAGCACATGCCAATTCATGCAAAATATCTAAGCATATGTAAGCCACATGCCAACTACATACTGAAAGTATTGAGCCACATGCAAGTGGCAGCATGTGCATGTGAACTGAATGAGAATTTTGTGTCATCTACATGTCAACTCCAAAGAAAAATGAAAAACTGTTAACACTAAATCTGAACTACATGGCAACTGCATGTTATATACATGCTTTTTACATGTTAAGGCTATGTCAGCATGTTAGGTACATGCTAAGCACCTGCAAGTTTATGCTAAATGCATGCCAACTGCATTCTATGTGCATGCTAGTCACACATGAGCTACATGCCAGGCACATGTAATCTGTCAGTTATATGATAAATGCCAATCACATGCTAACTGCGTGATAGGTGCATGCCAATATATGGTAATTCCTTGCATGTTAACATGTGTATATTAGTGTCAGCACATTCATGCAAACTACATGTGATAAAACAAAAATGAAAAAGTAAAAAGTAAAATAAATGTGAACTCTTGCAAATGAAACATGCCATTCACATGAGAATTACATATTAGTTATACATAGACCACATGACACCTGCAAGTGAAATATATACTGTTACATGTGAATCACACCAATGATATCTGAAATATATGCCTAGTATGTCCAAACTACATGCAAACTACAACCAGTTACCTGATAAGTACATGCAAAAGGCAGCCATTAGGTGCAAAGTACATGCCACTTATCTACTAAGTACATGCTATTTATATGTGAGCTACATGCCAACTACAGGCAAAAGAAATGCAGACAACTGTAACATGTGAATGACATTGACTCTTAGCTATGTGCCAATTACATGCAAGCTACTCTCTAGGTACATGGATCTTTAGTGCATGTTAAATACTAACTACATACCAATTACATGGAAGGCCCATGCAAACAGTGGTTAGCTCATGCAAACTACATTCAATAACATGTGAACTGCATGCCAACTACAAGTGAAATAAATGTGGACAGCTGTTACATGTAAATGACACTGACTACATTTGAGCTACATGCTAAGCACATACAAACCACAGCTAGTACATGCACACTACAGGCCAATTACAAATGATATGAAAGCCTGGAAGATAATCGTGGAGCTGGAGAATTGAGTGAAGCAGATCTTCATGTCTGCTGCATAGAGGAAATGGACTGGTATGGAAGGGGAATGAAAACCAGGACAAGCTGAGAAGTGCAGGAGCGGCATGCACAAATCTGCTTAGAAAGATAGAATTTTAAAAGGAGCTCGGATTCCATCCTCTCCTAAGGAGTGGGCAGAATTGTGGCCCCAGAGTTCTTGAGCATGTGAATCATGATTCTTTCAACAAGCACACTTAAAACTAGGAACACTTAGACCAACTTGGTAGAGGCAATGCTTTCTACTATGTTAAAACCAGATTTGCCTGCCATAGTGAATTATGTCTGGATCCAAGAATATTTGTATTTCTCTTCTCTTTGACAAAAAGTTTTAGTAGCGTGACTGAGTCTCTTCCTGGTTTTTCTGGGAGGTCTGCAGCTTCCTTGCTCTCTGGGTCTCCAAAGACCCCCCCCCAAAAAAAAAAAAACACTCACAAACAATAGAAGTGCTTCCTCTACCACATGGGAGGGCAGGGTTGCCCCGTAGAGCATGAGTGCACAGTCTGGTTGGGAAGGTCTTCTCTTCCAAACTGTCTTGCAACACTGAGTGTTCCAGTCCCCTGTGCTTGCCTTAATTTTGCATCTGAAAATTGGATTTAGGACTGGAGGCATCTCCAACACAGCAGGACAATTATAGGGCCACTTTGGGCGCTGCAGCTTCAGGCATAAAACACAAGCTGGCTAGCCTGCCTCTCTGGGCTGCCCTTCCTTGACACATATGCATAAGGAGACTGTGTACTGACGCTGATTAGTGATGTGCACCATCTAGTCCCTCTGAGACTCTTTTTTCTCATCTGTAAACTGAGGGAGTTACAGGATTTCTAACCCCTTGCACATCCAGCAGTTCATGGTTGTTCATAAGCTCACCTCCCAGTGAAGCTGAGTTCACAGCAACATGTGGACAGACGTGGTGTTCTTTAGAGTCTACTTGTGGACATTGTTGCCATAAAAAGTCTAGCCCAGGGGCCAGCATCGTGCCATAGCAGGTAAAGCCACCCTAGCATCCCATATGGGTGACAGTTCATGTCCTGGCTGCTCCACTTCCAATCCAGCTCCCTGCTAATGTGCCTGGGAAAGCAGCAGAAGACAGCCTAAGTGCTTGGGCTGCCTGCACCCTACATGGGAGACCCGGATGATGTCCTCGGCTCCTGGCTTTGGCCTGGTCCAGCCCTGGCTGTTGTGGTCATCTGGGGAATGAACCAGCAGATGGGAGATTCTCATTCTCTCTCTCTCTCTCCCCCTGCTTCCTCATTTTGTGTAATTATTTCAAATAAAAAAAATACATCTTTAGAAAAAAGCCCAACCCAATTTAAGACTCTTCCTATACACGTTGTTGATTCTTGGCCCACCTGGTTCTACTCTGGGGTACTGTGGTCATGAGCCAGCCGCCCAACAAGAGTCTGTCATGAGGCATTCGCCAGTGTGCCAGGCCTGGGAAGTGCTTGTTTCCAAGTGCTGTAACCTCTCCAGTCTCCCCTGGGATGATTTTGTTATGTGGGTCCTTGCAGAACTATTCTGAGTATTATACTGATAACTACTGTTTCATTTTACTCATTTGCTTTATTTATTTTCCGTTTCAGATTAAGACGTCCGTTATTTGGGCAACCCCAAATGTCTCCTTCTCAATCCCACTCTGGGTAATAATACTAGCAATACTTCTTGGATTGTTGGTTCTGGCCATTTTAACCTTAGCTTTATGGAAGGTAAGTTGATTTACTTTATTTCCTTTTGGACTGGAAATAAGGGTATTTAAAAGGGTATTTTGGGGGTTTAAATAGACAATGCTGGAAGCGGCCAGCACCGCGGCTCACTAGGCTAATCCTCCACCTTGTGGCGCCGGCACACCAGGTTCTAGTCCCGGTCGGGGCGCCGGATTCTGTCCCGGTTGCCCCTCTTCCAGGCCAGCTCTCTGCTGTGGCCAGGGAGTGCAGTGGAGGATGGCCCAACTGCTTGGGCCCTGCACCCGCATAGGAGACCAGGATAAGCACCGGGCTCCTGCCTTCGGAGCAGCGCAATGTGCTGGCCGCAGTGCGCCAGCCGCGCCAGCCATTGGAGGGTGAACCAACGGCAAAAGGAAGACCTTTCTCTCTCTCTCTCACTGTCCACTCTGCCTATCAAAAAATAAATAAATAAATAAAAATAAAAATACAATGCTGGAGGCAAGATTTGGATTTTTTGAACAGTGTGAAGGACATAAAGAGAAAATTGTGTCTTGTTTGCTTTGGCTTACTTAATATGCTTGTGTAGCTGACATTTAAGATGATCGATGGTGTTTAATGTTGCTTTCATCTTAAGATTTCTTTTTAAAAATGAGTTAAGATTTCTTATAAGTAAATATGGAATAAGACTTTTTTAACTAAAACCTGTGATTCTCTTTTCAATATACTTGGAGTGATAATGTTATGAGTTTTGTTTTTCTTTTTCAATCAACCCAGATCTTAAGTTTTTTATTGACATGGGCCTACCATCAATCCCTTGAGATTTATCTTTGTAAGCACTACACAGATATAATTAATATAGGTCAATTCTGATTTTTTTATTCCAACCATCAATTAGACTGAATTGATCATACATGTTAGAATATTACTGCACTTATTTCTTGCCACTTAGCTTTTTCCATTAGGAAGCCTTAACTCACTCTAACTTACTTTTTAATCAATTTTTATTGAGGTTCATTCTAAAGTCTATGAGAATTAATTTCTGCTGCAATAACCTACACAACTGCCAAGTTTCCCAGAGCCTTCATTCCCAAACTAGAATGTCATAATTACATGACCAGTCACATCTTACTCACTATTGTCATGATTGTCCAAAAACATAGTATATTTTCATTTTAAAACAAAATAGAGAAGCAGCCATTTAGCCTAGCAGTTAAGACACCTGCATCCCACATCACAGTCTCTGCCTTCTGACTCCAATTTCTTGCCAGTGCAGATGCTGGGAAGAAGTGGATTCAAGTAACTGGGTTCCTGCCAGTTCCTGGTCTCCATGGGAGACCTAGATTATGTTCCTCATTCCTGGCTTCAGCCTAGACCAACCCCAGCCATTGCGGGCATTTGGAGGTGCAACAGATGGGAGTTTGTTCACTAGATCGTTCTCTCTGCCTCTCAAACCATTTTAAATTTAAAATACAGTATGTGGATCTATACCAGCTCTCTGCTATGGCCCGGGAAGGCAGTGGAGGATGGCCCAAGTGCTTGGGCACTGCACCTGCATGGGAGACCAGGAGGAAGCACCTGGCTCCTGGCTTCAGATCAGCGCAGTGCGGCAGCCATGGCATCCATTTGGGGGGTGAACCAACAGAAGGAAGACCTTTCTCTCTGTCTCTCTCTCACTAACTCTGCCTGTCAAAAAAAAAGAAAGAAAGAAAGGAAAACCTTAGGTCTAAGTTAAACAATAGCTTTTTTGATCACTATCGGCAGGGTTTTGTTTCTTTGTCTGTTTTGACATCCTGAGCCCACACTGTATTTAATACCCTTAGAAATAGATTTTATGTTATCCTGTTATTTAAATTCACTGTTCTTACCATGACCATAAGATGCAATCGTGGCTGGTGCTGTGACTCAATAGGCTAATCCTCCACCTGCGGTGCCAGTACACCGGGTTATAGTCCCTGTTGCCCCTCTTCCAGGCCAGCTCTCTGCTGTGGCCAGGGAGTGCAGTGGAGGATGGCCCAAGTGCTTGGGCCCTGCACCCCATGGGAGACCAGGAGAAGCACCTGGCTCCTGGCTTCGGATCAGCGCGGTGCACCGGCTGCAGCTCGCCGGCCGCGGCGGCCATTGGAGGGTAAACCAGCTGTAAAGGAAGACCTTTCTCCCTATCTCTCTCTCACTGTCCACTCTGCCTGTAAAAAAAAAAAAAAAAAGATGCAATCGTATGTGCCAAGTGACAGACAATGTTCTTCCAGCCCTGCGACACAAAGATGACTTGATTGCATAGCCAAACTGAGTGCATTGGGCTTCCAACCTGAGAAACAATAGATAGAAATTGAGGTTTCAGGTTTCTAGGAAAAGTTGGCAAAACACTAACTCGAAATTTGGAATGAGGAAAATTCTAGAATCCCTTCTTCCCTTAGCTGCTGGTTAATCTTTGGAGCGTCACTCAGTTGTCTGTGTCTGCCTAATTCTGGAGTTGAGACAGCAAACCAAATTGTCCCGACTACACTGCACTTTCCACCAAGTGCAGAGAGAGGGGCAGGCATCTCCCCACTTCTTCCCACGCTCCATCCCCAGGTAGCCAGAAGCTACCTTCAGGGGGCAATGTCCCCCTCCTCCCATCCTGGTCAGCAGTCAGTACTGCTGCCGGCTCCCCAAACAGGCCCAGGGAAGCAGAGCGGGATTGGGACACTCTGCAGTGATCCCAGGGTAGTCTCCCCGGGAGGTGATTTGAGACAGGGACGTTCCCCTACAGTAATTCCTCTCTACAGGCTACCAACGCACTGCGGGTCCGTCTGCATTGGGAGAACTGGGTGGACCATTTCTGCAGAGGTCCTGACTCCTTGCAGATTCAATGAAGTGTATGTTTCTTCAAATGAGGGGTTTCGCGAGCCACGCTGTGGCTGGGTTTTATAGCCCTCTGATCTATTTTGTAGTGTGGATTCTTCGACAGAGCAAGGCCGCCTCAGGATGATATGACCGACCGGGAACAGCTGACAAGTGACAAGACCCCAGAGGCATGACAAGGACCAACACAATTTCAAAGAACTCAAATACTGGTCCAGCTCAAAGACAAGAAAGAATATCAGGGTTCAATAAAGGATGTCCTGTACCTGCCCATGACCTTGGAAATGGAGAGGCCCCTGAAATCGTCCCTTCGTCTGCAGTGTGCTTTGGAGAAGTTGTCAGGGGCCCCAGGGAACCCTTTGAGAAACGAGTGGCCAACACGGCACCAACAATCAGCAGTTGTGGACGATTTCTTTCGCCCTCTTCGCTCTGTGCTCGGCAGACACCTTGACGTGGGGATGGGCTCTTAGGCTGCTGTCCAAGTGAATCCAACGTCAGTTACGTAGATGAGATGTCTGAATTACTCTTGAACTGAGAAGGTGAACTCAGACCACCCAACACTACTGTATCAAGTGGAACGTCGGCCACCTGCCTGTGGCAGAGAAGCCTTTCTAATGGCACTGTGGCGGGGGGGGGGGGGGGGCAGCAACAGGTTGTTGGTGCTGTGAAATACTGGTGAAGCCACAGAGACAGCTTGCAAGTGGGGATAAACATGCATTTCTTTCTTTCCCATCCCTCCCTGTTGAGTAGCCAGTCAGCGAGAGGATGTGGAAATGGACATTGGGTTAGCTCCTTTTCAAAGCCACTCACTCAGTTTCCTCCCAAGATAACCACTTTGTGGGTAACTCACTTAACAGGCTTCCTCAGAATCATGCAAATCGGTGTCAGGAGTCAATTTTATTTCATACCTTGCAGCTTTCCAGTTGAAATTACTTTTTAGTCACACTATTCAGGAATTCACATCTGCTTAAACTAACTTTGAAAAGCATTACTTCTATATTTCCTTTTACATATTCATAAAAGTCTTTGCATTGACTTGGTTAATACATGAATGTCAAGATACTCTCCACTCCGTGTGGTGGTTAAAATTTCCTGAGCTCATTAACATTTAAAAAGCCATTTAACAATACAGATAAACATTGTTTTTCAATATTCATAAGAAGCAATGCCAATATTTAGCTTGAGATTATTTTCTCTGCCAATGAGGATGGGAATATAAAGTTATGCAGGGGTGAGGCAACTCTACAAAGCTGGTTTCTAAGGATTTTCTTTAAAATTTCTCATTCCAGCATATTGCTCATTTTTACTGCTAATGCTTACATTACATAAATTTGGAGAATACTGTTTTATTTAAGCTATTTCTCATCCTCTTGAATTTAACCATCAAGGAGAATGGATGTTTAAAACTCTTGTAAATAATCCATATTCATGTATAATATCATCAGTTTTGAAGTAAAATTGACCAGCTAAATTCATAGTCTGACAATTTTGTATCCTTTTTATAATAATGAAATATTGCTATGGAAAAGAAATGAACAAATTTTTATGTGCAATATTTTATAAACCTATGTATCTGAGACATGTTTACACTGGCATTAGTTACTTTTAATTAATACCTTAGGAAGATTACATATGATAGAAGCTGACCAAAATCCATACGTTTACACAGCAGCTGAAAAAAATTGTGTCCCAATTTCAACAATCACACGTTATCTGAAGGATGAGCCACACTCACAGGCACTACATTTTACACCAGGCCTTAACCTGGAGGAAAGCCATGGGGCTCCAGCTGCAGAACTTGGTTGGGAAGCAAATAAAAGGCACATGGCAGAACACGCTGTTGCCATCCTTCTTCTTGCTGCTTGTGAACGAAATCCTGCCGTGGGGGGAGGGACAGTTTGATGTCTGTGAGGAACCGAGCAGTCTGTGTACTCGACACTGGCTGAGCAGTGTGCTCTCGCCTCAGAGTGTTTGAGGATCCTACACTGGCCGCTGGGGTCCTCACAGTTAATCCTGTGGGTGGACTTGACTTTGACAGTAGGCAGCCATCTGTAGCTCTCTGCCCCAGTCAGTGCCTTAATTCTTATTGTTGTGCCTGACGTGACCAGTAGAAGGATAAGCTTCTTGGGATGTGGGGTCACAAAAGGTCCCCTAAGAAAAGCACTCCTTGCCTTTAAGGTAACATTTGTGAAGGACCATGGCCCTCTTGAGCTATTCCCTCTTGGGGAACCTTCTTGCTGCCAAAGGCCATGTGGATATTTATGACATCATCCACGGGCCACACAAAACCAGCGATTACAAGTTCCCCTGCTACAGATGTACTGAACTTTGAGTCCCACCTGCGGTTGCCTTGGCAGAGCCAGACCAAATGGTTTCTTAGGCCTCCCTGGTAGATCCAACAGAGGGCCCTGCAGAACTGGTTGCTATGGACACCCAGAGGCAACATGAGATGCCACGAGGCAGCCTGAGACTGGATCGGAGCCCAGCACCGGGGCTTTAAGGAAATTTGGCCTTCCTACCATCTCTACCGAGAGTGGTCTCCCCCTAGACAGGGTGGGCACCCTGACTTGCTTGCAGGTGCTGCTACTTATGGCCATGGTAGAGGTCTGTCACACGAGTGCACAGGATGGCCCTCTGTGCCTTATATGTGGAGACAAGTGAAGGGAGGGAGCAAAGTGGGGCCAGGCAGAGCCCTAGGTGACCAGCTCCTCAGTGTGCCCTCAGCACAGAGGCCACCCCAACAATGCATTGCACATTCTGCTTCTCATTACAGCACTGCCAATAGCGTCCATAATTCACAATGGGCTGTGCTCCTCTTTCAGTCTATCTGTGTTTCTCTTCAAAGAATTCCTCTTTTGAATTCTTGCAGCTGGTTTTTAAGACACAGGAAGAATGGGAAAATTGAGTTTTATAAACTTGGAGATTTTTATACAGTAATTAATATGTGCTAGTTACCACTGAAATCCCTCTTAGAAATTCAACTCTTGTTTTATTTAAGTATATGTGTAGATATCTGTGAAGATTTTCATGTACCTACTTACCTTGTCACTAATAAAATTAAAAATTAAAGACACAATAGCTTATCTATGGTTTTTTTTTCATGTGCAAAAAGTTTCCCATAATGAAGACATCAAAATTTTCCACCTTTCAACCTTGATTCTTTATTATAAAAACATTTAACTTTGGAAGAAATTTGAAAGAGCATAACTTCAATGCTCCTTGGGATGATGAGAATGTATCTCTGCTTACATTACAGCAATGGTTCACAACTCCTAGTACACTAAAATTTATGGAGTTGTGAAATTTCAATAGGTGAGTTTTATAGCATGTGAATTATATCTTAATAAAGAGGTTAGGGGCAGGCATTTGGCCTACAGCCAAGATGCCCATTGGGATGCTCCACTACTGATTCCAACTTCCTGCTCATGCGTACCCTAGGAAGCAGCAGATGGCTGTGGCCAAGCACATGGGAGACCTGGATTTGATCTCCCAACTCCCAGCTTCAGTCTAGTCCAGCCCAGGCCTTTGCAGGCATTTGGAACTGATAGGATCAATCTCTCTCTCTCTCTCTCTCTCTCTCTCTCTCCCTGCCCCATTCCGCTTTTATTTTCAAAAGCATAAGTATTTAAAGTCACTTTTAGTACTTTCACTCTTATACAACCAATTTCTCCATGTTGCCTTTCAAAGTGTGTCCATTCTTCTATTTTAGCTCCTTTATGGAGACTTCTCTTGCATCTTTGGCTAACTTCAGAGTCCTCCTGTCCTCCAACAGTGCTTTGTAAATGACTACAATTTCCATTTATTTTTCACAACCATATTTCAGCATGACTGACCCTCACTGAGAGCAGAAACCCTATCTTTTCATCTGTTTCCTATAACGAGCAGCATTTTAGAGTGAAGGAATGGATAGGGAATCTGTGCACAGTAATAATCATGGTGAACACACACCTGTGTGATCCACGTTCATCACGAAGCACTAGAGGACACACAAACGTGCCTACATCTTCCTACTTGCAATGCTATCACAGGTTGAACATTGCTAATCTGAAAATCCGAAATGCTCCAAAATTAAAAACTTTTTTGGGTGCCAACATGATGCCACAAGTGAAAGATATCATACCTAACCTCATGTAACAGGTCACAGTCAAAACACAGGTGCACTAAAAATGTTATATGAAATTACCATCAACTTATGTGTATATTAAATATATAGAACATAGATGAGTTTTGTATTTAGGATCCCATCCCCAAAATATCTCATATTTATACAAGTAATCCAAAATCAGAAAGAAACTGAAATCCAAAACACTTCTGGCTCCAAGCATTTTGGATACGGACAATATCTGTGTAATAGTTACCAATGTTCTATTTAACTGGTGAACCATAATTTGTTTAAATCTCTCCTCTTGCCGGTGCCACGGCTCACTAGGCTAATCCTCCGCCTTGCGGCGACAGCACACCGGGTTCTAGTCCCGGTCGGGGCGCCGGATTCTGTCCCGGTTGCCCCTCTTCCAGGCCAGCCCTCTGCTGTGGCCAGGAAGTGCAGTGGAGGATGGCTCAAGTGCTTGGGCCCTGCACCCTATGGGAGACCAGGAAAAGCACCTGGCTCCTGGCTCCTGCCATCGGATCAGCGTGGTGCGCCGGCCGCAGCACGCCGGCCGCGGCGGCCATTGGAGAGTGAACCAACGGCAAAGGAAGACCTTTCTCTCTGTCTCTCTCTCTCACTGTCCACTCTGCCTGTCAAAATAAAAAAAAATAGCATTAAGTTGATTATTTTCATATATGGGGGTTCTTTTTGTTTATTCCAATGAATGAACTTTTTAAAAGAGTTATTTATTTGAAAGGCAATAATACAGAGAGCAAGAAAGGAAGAGAGAGGGAGAGAGACATTTTCCACCTGCAGGTTCACTCCCCAAGTGACCTGGGTTAGGCCAAGCTGAAGCCAGGGGCTTCACGTGATTCTCCCATGTGGATGGCAGGGGCCCAAGCACTTAGGGCATTTTGCATTGCTTTTCCAGGTGCATTAGCAGGGAGCTGGATCTTAAATGGAGCAACCAGGATTTGAACCAATGCCAATATGGGATGCCAGCCTCACAAGCTACAACTTAACCCACTGTGCAGCATCAGCCTCATCAATGAGTAAACTTAGCAAAAGAGTTATTGGTCAAGTTATATGAAGATTTTTGTAGCTCTTGAAAACATGTTTTTCATAAGGAGACTCAATCACCTTAATTTAGCATTTCCTTTACACTTATTTTTTTTTTTTTTTTGACAGGCAGAGTGGACAGTGAGAGAGAGAGACAGAGAGAAAGGTCTTCCTTTGCCGTTGGTTCACCCTCCAATGGTCGCCACGGCCGGCGCGCTGCGGCCGGCGCACCACGCTGATCCGATGGCAGGAGCCAGGAGCCAGGTGCTTTTCCTGGTCTCCCATGGGGTGCAGGGCCCAAGCACCTGGGCCATCCTCCACTGCACTCCTGGCCACAGCAGAGGGCTGGCCTGGAAGAGGGGCAACCGGGACAGAATCCGGCGCCCCAACCGGGACTAGAACCCGGTGTGCCAGCACCGCTAGGCGGAGGATTAGCCTAGTGAGCCGCGGCGCCGGCCTTTACACTTATTTTTAAAGTTTAGTGTCTTAATTTATATGCCATTAGAATTCAGTAAATTTAATGTACACGTTTAATTTTGAACTCTAGACATTCAATATAGATTAGTTTATTGGCCATACCACATAAGATACTTAAATACTTGCTGCTTCTCTGACTGGCATTCATGAATTTCATTGAGAAGAATCCATTTCTTGGGGATTTCCTGGAGCCTAGAGCAAGCAGTAGGTGAAATCCTTCTCTTCATGATATATAGCACTCACACTTCAAAACCTAAACATATCTAAAGACTTATGTTGGTCCAAAGGTGCCTGTGTATGCCGGAAGAACATATGAAAAACTGTTGTACCTGAGTGAGTACAAACAAACGGGCACCACACATTAATAAAATGTGATGGTGGAGAGAGGGCCATGACCTAAAGAACTCTTGACACCAAAGCTCAAATGACAGGGTTTATAAAGGCAAAACCCATAAGGATGGGAGGGGAATACATGGTTGCTAGAATCCGGGAGAATACACGGTTACTAGGGTCAAGCTGACCTAAGGCCTATGGGAAACTAATACCAATTACAGTCTTGACAATAGACAAAGTACAATCTTAACATTAATCCAGGTGTAGCTTATCTGTTTTATTTTTTTTATTTTTTTTATTTTTATTTTTTGACAGGCAGAGTGGACAGTGAGAGAGAGAGACAGAGAGAAAGGTCTTCCTTTGCCGTTGGTTCACCCTCCAATGGCCGCAGCGCGCTGCGGCCGGCACACCGCGCTGATCCGATGGCAGGAGCCAGGAGCCAGGTGCTTTTCCTGGTCTCCCATGGGGTGCAGGGCCCTACCTTATTGTCTTAGTTGTAGACCGTGGTTAGTTTCAAACCAGAGTCTCACAGTGGGGGGTGCTTTCTCAAGATGAACTCTTGGGTGCTCTAAAATGGAGTCCCTCTTGTCAGGGTGTCACTTCAAAACCAAATGTAAGCTTTAGTGATATTTGGTCCTGAAGATCAAAGCACTCAACCTGGTATATTTTGTCAGAGGCAATACTGAAGGATCCATCCTAGGTCAGTGTCACCGGTTAAGGCCTGTGCATACTTGTGGTGAGGAAACAGGGGAAATTTTACCATGTATCACATAGTAGTAAAATGTTCTGTATTTATATGATCAAGGTGGCAGCTAAGCCTTCTCAACAAATACTTTTTTTAATGATTTTTATTTATTTATTTATTTATTTGAGAGGTAGTGTTACAGAAAGAGGCAGAGAGAGAGAGGTCTTCCATTCACTGGTTCACACTCTAGATGGCCTCAATGGCCGGAGCTAAGCCGATCCGAAGTCAGGAGCCAGGAGCTTCTTCTGGGTCTCCCATTGGGTACAGGGGCCCAAACACTTGGGTCATCTTCCACTGCCTGCCCAGGCCACAGCAGAGAGCTGGATCAGAAGAGGAGCAGCCAGGATATGAACTGGTGCCCATATGGGATTCCAGCACCACAGGTGGAAACTTAGCCCACTAAGCCACAGTGCCGGCCCAACAAATTCTCTTGATATCTTTGCCACCTCCTCTTGTTTTATATGTAGACACTTAACCATATCAGTAATTTCCAAATATTGAGTTGAGATTTGGGTGCCTAGACTGGGCAAAATTGGAGAAGGGTCACTCCTCCCAGATTTCCCTGATAAGGTAGAATTCTCTTCTGTATTTTACACTTTTATGAAATTCACACAACCCTCATATGGTACCCCTATAGCAAAGAACATCCTGGTGACCTCAGAAAGAGATAAAACATGAAAACCTTTGATTGACACTAAATGCTAAGCTGGTACCTCCCCAAGGTCTGATGCTCCTTTCCACAAATGTAACAGACCTCCTTCAGAACTCTGATTACATTAAATGATTGATCCCTTTAACGTGAGAAGTTTAAGGCACTGACATTTTAGACTCATTTGGGAGTTTAGCAAAACCATAATTCACCCCAGTGATGCTTTGATAGATGGCGAGTTCAGAATGACTGGCATGGGGCCGGTGCTGTGGTGAAGCGGGTTAAGCCACTATTTGTGATGTGGACATCCCATACTGGAGTACCAGTTCAATTCTCAGCCGCTCTGCTTCCAATCCAGCTCCCTACTAACACACCCAGGGACAGCAGCAGCAGATCGACCAAGCAGCTGGGCCCCTGCCACCTATATATATGGAGTTACATGCTCCTGATTTCAACTTGACATAGCCCTGGATGTTGAGGCCATTTGTGGAGAGAACCAGCAGACGGAACATCTCTCTCTCTCTCTCCCTGAAACTCTGCTTTTCAAATAAATAAATAGATAAAAATCTTTATAACAACAACAACAAAAAAAATGACCAGCATGCATAGGGTATAACTCTTCTTCCATTTAAATTCTCCTCACCCCAGCCCCCACAATACCATCTGACTGACATGCTGCCTTGGAAATTGTTTATGAGCAAATTCTTTGTTATTTATGATTCTTGA